GCTCCCATCTAGTGGCTGCCAGTGTCAGGTTGAAGCTGCCAAGTTCAAGTCAGTGGCGAGGGGTTCAAGATGCTGAGATCAAGCCAGCAGGAGGCATACAGAGTGTTGTAGGCTGAACGAATCAGGTTCCGGTCTCACAGCCAAAGACCACACTGAACTCCAGTGGAACTGAAGGTACAGGCTTGCTGGGACTGTCTGTGACCCTGTCATAAAGCTATGGCTGACTTGCTGGGATTAATCAACACGGATCTGGACTCTGTTTGCTGATTTGTCTACCAGAGACTGAGATGCATTTTGAAGCAGACTTGTCTTCTTTTCTTTTTCTTCCTTTTCATGTTTTTGTTTGGTTGATTTGTTTTGGTTTTTTCTTGGTTATTCTTGTTTTTATATGAGTGTGAGCAGTGTTTCTGGTTTTTGTTGTTCTGTTCTGTTCTTTTTATTTCTCTTTTTCACTGAATTTCCAAAATTTACATAATTTTCATCCAGATGTCCCAAAGTTTGCATAATCTTCTTTGTTCTCCAGCCTTGCTTCTAATCTCTTCTATTTCCTCCTCAACCTCTTTTAAATTTTTTCTGCTGAGCATAAAATTTTCTGGATTGTTTAAGATTTTGTTACATAGCCATAAGTCTGGCTCATGATTAAAGGTGGCACATTAGTAGTTAGCACAGTGTGTTAGTTTCTAGGCTGTGTTTGATGCTGTCGTTATTGCTGCTTGTACTACTTTAGCCAAGGTGACAGAATTGTTCCTGATATCCCAGGGCTGACATTGCCTAAGGGTCATAAAAAATGCTGTAGACCAGTGCCAGAGAACCAGGGTTGAAGGCAAATAGGAAGCAGCTTCTCATCACAAGTAAATTTAAGAGGGAAGGTCTTGCAACAGACTTGAAAGCCAAAAGCCAGCTCTATCTGGAAGACATCTCTGAGAAGTGGTCATTTTCCTAAGGGTTCTGAGTGCCTGCAATAAAGCTACACGCCATAAACAATTTACAAACATCAACACAGAAATTAAGCTAAAAATAGAAAAAAGAAAATATTTCAGGTGGTAAAACTTAGGTAGACTGATCAAGAAACACAAAAACCAAAATACCATTATAAAGAATAAAATAGGAATATCACTATAGATTCTATAAATATTAAAAGGATAAAAAAGAGGATACATGAAATCAACTATATACCAAAAAAATTAGAAACTTAGATGAAATGAATAAATTTCTTGAAAGAGAGCCCCACAGAAGACTCAAAAAGAAAGAAAAGATCTGGTTAGTCATGTATCTTTTAAAAAGAGATTAAATCTATAACCAAAACCTTCCTACAAAGGTAACCCTAGCCCTTGATGGCTTCACTGATAAAGTCTATCAAATATTGAAGGTAAAAATAATACCAATTCTACACAAAACAGAGAGGATGCTTCCTAATTCCCTAATGAGGGAATTAATACCTTAATAACAAAATAATATAAAAGCATTACTGGGGAAAAACAAATAAAACTACGAGGCAATACATGAAACAACAAAAAAAATCAAAATATTTACAAACTAAGTCGTTGGTATATATATGAAAATGTACAATACATTGTAATCAAGTTAGGCTTATTCTAGGACTGCAAGACTGGTACATCATTTAAAAATCAATCATTGAAATTTATTACAGTCAGTCCTTGAGAGAATCAAGGAGAAAAACATTAGTCATTTCAGTAGATACAGAAGAAACATTTGACAAAATTCAGTATTTTGTGATCTAAAAAATTGCTACCAACTTGAAAACTTCATAAATTTGATAAACAAATTTTATGAAAAACCTGCTGGCTGGTATCATCTTCGATGATGAAATACTGAATGCAACAATGTCTGTGTTGCTCCTTCTGTTCAATATTAAGCTGAGGTTATAGCCATGCAGTAAGGTGAGAACTACAAGGCACATGCAGTGGAAAAGAATGGATAAATCTGTCGGCTCACAGATGACCTTGATAGTACATGTATATATGAACTCTCAAGAGACCTACAAAAGGTAACTGGAACCAAAGCAAAGTTAGCAAGGTGGTCGGATGCATAGTTAAAAGAAGTAATTGCATTTTCATATATTTGGAGTTAAAGTAATTCAATGGGAGACTGGAAATTTTTTTTCCCCACAAATAGTGTGGAACAAATATACACTTCAATTTCACACTGTACCGAGACATTAATTTGAGTGGATCAAAGACCTAACTGTAAAGTTTCTAGAAAACACAGGAACTTGAGGAAACATAGCAGCATCATATGATCCTAGTATTGGAATAGGCTCAGGTTGCATGGCCATATCAAAAGCTTTGCTCATCAGAAGATACTATTGAAAAAATGAATAGGAAAGCTGGAATCTGGGAGAAATATTCACTCTTATAGATTACAAAGGACATATATCCTTAAAACGTGTGAGTGTGTGTGTGTTTTAGGTGTATATCTCCAAATCAATACTAAAAGGACAATCCAATACAAATGGGGCAAAACCTTTGAGCATTTCACACAGAAAGATACACTAGTATCCAGTAGACCTTTCAGCAGGTAATCAGTATCATTAGCTATCAGCATAATGAAAATTATAACCCCACTGAGCTATCATTTCATCTAGAGAATGATTACAATTAAAAATACATAAACTCCATTACTAGCAAAGGTATGAAGTAACTGGAACCTCGTAATATATTGTCAGCGCAAATATAAGAGATAATTATTTCAGAAAATTACTTAGTTATATTAGTTAAACATACATTTATTCAGTGACTCAATAGGCAGTACCCAACAAATAAAAAAGTGCATGTCTGTTTTTTACTTTTAAAACCTACATCTTTTGACTTGTAAAATAATGTAAATATTTCATTCATAGTAAGTTCCAAAGAGAAAGAGTTAATAAATTACATTGATTAAATCAATGGTCTACTAAGTAATAAAGTGGCAGTGAATATATAATACATGCATGAGTCTCCACAAATGTTAGACTGAGGAGAAGAAAAGCCAGGCGCAGAAGTGGGTATCTGGTATACGTTAGGTGAAGTTCCAGAAAAGATGGGCTTGGTCTGTGTTGACACCAATAAGAACAGTGGGTATCCAACATTAGGGAGGGATTTCAAGGAATTTTAGGAGTTTTGGGGTTATCTGGATGTGCTCATTTATCAGAAATCATTCGATTCACTTGAGATCTGTACATCATGAAAGTTTTAACACACACGCACACGCACACACACGCACGCACACATCCTGCACCAAATGAAAGTTCAGAAGCCAGACGACCTCAATTCACATCCTAATTCTGACACTTGAGCAAATGACTTAACCTTTTTGTTTGTTTGCTTTTCCACATCTGTAAAATGAGATAGCAACAGGAGCTAAGTTAGTTTTGTGGTGGAAATGAAGATGAGTAAATACAGGGAAGTGCTCCAAAGGCACCCACAGGTTAGTAACATAATGACACAGATAATGAAGAGAACTCTCTTACAGTTACCTATGTGTTAGTCTCTGAAAGTTGCTAAGGTAAATGTGGTATCACAGTGAACTATTAATATCTTGCATTCAAAACCAACTTGTGTACTGGATTCAGTCTCCCGCTTATTTTAACAGAAAGAAAAAGTGGTGTCTGTCAATACGTAGCCAAAATCAAAGCGGTATCTCAAAACAAGAGTGGGACAGTGCCCTTTGTGACTTTGCTCAGGTCACTACGCTGCTGTGGTCCAGGTTTCCTCCTCTCTGAAATAAGAAGGTAGTGGTAGATCAGTCACTCGGATTACATGGGAGTCCTGCACCCCTTGGAGAATCTGATGAAAACCTTAACTTGTGTCCTACTGCACAGAGAATTTTGTATAAGGGATACTTTTGCCATGTAACCTTTAGGAAATAAGAAATGTCTGTGATATATTGCTTTTTTGTTGTTGTTTCATTTTTGAGAAATCTGGCTGAAATCCATTGTCACTAAGTGTAAGAAATCTGATCAGTCAGCATGGGTTAGCTCCCTCCCCTTCTTTGGACCTTACAGAGACTGTAACCTTTCACATGAATGTTAAAAACAGGCCTGACCCACATGCGTGGTGGTTACTTAGCACATGCTTGTCTGTTGTTAGCATTGCTTTTAGCCCAGGCCCGGGAAGCACACGGCTGAGGTCAGCGTCCGTCCCTTGGCTCTCACTGGGATTGGCCACAGGGATGTGCTGTAAGGCGCACCAGGCTGCTGTCATCGGGCCTGCAGATCCTTTGGCCTTGCTCTTGTGAGTCCTCAGAAATCCCAGGGACTGACTTGTTTCATTGTGGGCTTCCAAACACTGCCTCCTTTCTTTCCCCTCTCACTCATACCAGGGCTTCGATCTCTTACGGTGGGCCTAGACTTGGAAAACCAAGATAGCTCACAAAATTTCTTTTTGTCAGAAAAACCACAAAGACTGTTAACTTTCTGCTCAGCTCAAAGACAGGAAGATGAGTAAATACGGGAAGATCTGGAGACATCTGGGAGGCTAGGGACATACCTATGACTTTGGATGTCTCTTCCTAGCTGTGCTTTTCCTGTGTTGGCATAAGAAAGCTATAAACTCACACAGCAGGAAGTCTGAGAAAGCGAGCAGTATTTGGAGAGGTCCAAGGGAAGTAGAAACCTTGGCTGAGATGTAAATTATACCTGGAGTAGTTTGGGCCTGCCTGCCTGGGGGAGGAAGCTTTAAAAGGGGAAGATGAGAAGCAAGGATTGCACTTCATTAAAGCCCACTTCTGTGTCTGCTGCCATCACAGTCTGCTTAAACATCCACTAAATAAGAGCAGAGTGTGCACGTATGGCAGTACTGTCTAATGGAGACCAACCCAAAGGGTAATCCAGGTCAAGGATGAGAGACGCTTTATGGTTTTGATTGGTGTTTTCAGATTAGCATTCTGGTCACACTGAGCCCCTGATTGTCCAGAAAATCAGGAGCCTAAGAAATGACATGTTCCGTCTGGCTTGTCACATCTCAATAACATCAACCTTGTTCTCTTTCCTCCATTGACAGAACAACACCGACGGACTTCACGAACTCGCGTGTGGGGGCTTGATTTATTGCTTGGGAGTTGTGTTCTTCAAGAGCGATGGCATCATCCCATTCGCCCACGCCATCTGGCACCTGTTCGTGGCCACGGCAGCTGCAGTACATTACTACGCCATCTGGAAATACCTGTACCGAAGTCCCACGGACTTCATGCGCCATCTATGACCGGTCTGTTCTAGGTCTCCAAACCAGTATTATCTCCATTATGGCACTGGGGAGTGGGGTAAGAGGTGAAAGTTGCACAGGGCTAGGGGGAACAGCTGCACTGACTTCCTTTATATCCTTTGAAAATAATTACTGTGAACATGTAAAAGCTGTGTTCTGGGATTTCTTTTTCTCCGCTCACAGCAAACAAATAAGGTAGAGAATTAATTCTTCATTCCATCCCACTGTCATGAAGGACTCTGGATAGATTAGGCCAGCTGATGTTTACAAAGCAGACTTTTATATTTTAATTTTACAGGTTTTACTACATGATTTTTCTAAATTCCTAGGGGAGGCTATAAAAGTCAGTGCAATAAGATAACTTCCTTTTTAATAAAAAAAAAAATCGTTTCTATCACTTTCCCATTCACTGTGTAAAGAATCATGGACAGGACTTACACTACTCTTTACCATGTTTCATCTTGGCATAACATGGTTATTTTTTAAATAGAAACTTTAGGTTTTTGTAAATTTTTAAAAAAAACAATTTCATTGAAGCACATCTCTGTGGTTCCTCCTTCATGTTGTAAATTTTTACAGCAAGCAATCAACATTCCACAATTATACCTCTTCTGATAGTTTTATTAAATGTGGAGAAGTTGCCAATTTTTAAAAACTAGTTTTCCAAACTTTTCTGCCAACCTCTAACTCTGAATTCAGTGCTGTTTTCGGCCACATACAGGACCTAGTTTGGTTTACGAGTGATGGAAAAGTATTTTGATATCATTCACTTTTTCAAAAGATCCAACTTTTCTCTATGCCTTTGCCGTGGTTTTTTTTTTTTTTTTCAAGATCTCTTTCGGTAGTGGGTGAATATTCCATCTGTCTTACAGCAGTCTTGTTGGGGTGGCATCTGCTGAGCATTGTGAATTGCAACGAATAATTATTTTTTGCCTGTTTGGTGCACAGTGGTGAAGTCGTTGTCACCTGGCTTTCCAGTACCTGTTTGATACTCATTTTAAATTGTGGAGCTAGATGCACAAATTCACATTCCTGCTTTTCTTCTGCATCTCTCAGTATATTGCTTTTTGATTTTGTTTTTATTTTGTCACAGGAAAAAATATTTAAAGCATTGACAAATAGCAACTCATGTCTCTAGTCCATGAGTTATATCCTGACTCAGTGGAGTGGTATTTATATATGTATATATTATTGTTTTGGTTTTTCCTCGTTGTCTTATATTAAGATTGCCATATTAGTTGCTCTATTGGTGTTTTTAAGAAATGAAATTACCTTGCCTTTAGTTCAGGCGCCTGTATCGCCTGTTTTTCTAGTAATGGGCTTCTCACTGGAATTGTCAATTAACAATAAGCTTATTAACTGAAAATTTAATACTTTTGTCTCTTTAAAAGAGAATTTATTTGATGAGTATGTTTAGAACTGTTTGGTGAGGTGTAGGGGAATGAGGAGCAGAAGAATTGACACTTTCAGTGAATTCTTTAAAAGGCAAGGTACCCAGTGATGACACCCAACCCCACCACCCCTGTATGCATGATTCTGAACATAGGGATGCCTGTTTTATTGTGGACGTTTTACTTTTAATATATTAACTTTTTGTGGATTTATTGAAAATCTGCTCAAAATTAACACTGTCAAAACCACTAAAGTATATGTATAATAATGTGCTGTAAACTGAAATAAAATTGTTACTTGGATTTATTCCACTGTGTCTGAATTAGATGACTGCAAATAATAATGTGTATTTGAGAACTCTGATTCATCTAGTTTATAAGTTGTATACTAATTATTTTAAAACAAAATGGAAAAGAAACAAACACAACTTTCATTCAGTATTTGCAATTCTTCCCCTTAATGCCAAAGCCAGCTCAGCACTAATATGGTCAGGTCTCAAGATTTTAAGTGTTATAGATGATGTGTCCTTACCCAGAGAAGCCTTTTGGTTTAGCTCATACGATACACTGTAAGACCGAGTTACAGGACTTACGTAACCTACTAGACTTACATCCTGTTGTAAGCCTAACCACTCTGTCTGTTAGGTGTTATTCTGTCTCTCCTGTGGTGCCAGAGACAAGGGTCAGAGATTTAATTGTCTCATCTTAAATCAGAGGGTTGGGATAGCAATCGGGGTCTTCCAAATTCAAAGCCTCCCCATTAGTCCTACACTACTGCGTTTCTAAAAACACATCATGGAAAAAAAAAAGCTTAAACTGAAAATTCATGAGATTTGGGCACGGGAAAGAAAATACTTCGTGCAGTTTAGAGGCTCAGACAAATCTCCATCCAATCTGATTTTGAGGACTGAATATCTTAAAGCATTATTATTCCCAAGAATTCTATCCTGAAGTTGACCAGGGTGACATCTGTAAAGCGTTTGCCTGATATGTGTGGCCACTCCTCCCTCTTAGGTAGAAGCAGTTGAAAACTGTCTATGGTCGGACCCTATCGTGGTCTGAATGCCTCCAGGCATATTTTCCTCACTCTACATTAACTGAGTTCATTATCTTTTCCTATCTGTCACCGAATCCTTTTCTCTGACATTTCTCAACTTGCTTCATAGTACAGTCACAGCCACCATCAACCCTTGATTTGTCTTCCCTCATTCCCCAGATCCGACAAATCAGCCAGGGCTGTTACTTTACCTTGGCGATGACTCCCTGAGCACCTTCCTCACTTCCTCTTCCACTGCAAGGCCCTACAAAGCCCTCATTAGTCTGCAGACCACTGCAGCTACCTCCTCACTGGTGCACCTGCCACCCCTTACACCTCTCACACACACTCCTCTTCCATGCCATGCACAGCATTATCTTCCTAAAATAAATCCTACCTTCCCTGCTTCAAGACCTACATTGCCTACTTGGCCTATAAAATTACCACATGCCTTAGTGTGGACTCCACTCTGTGCCAAAGGACTCCACACACCTTTGACGCCTGCACTGCTAAAGCGTTTCACACATCCACCTCCGCAGTACCCTGTGCCCTCGCATGGCCAGAACCGTACTCGTGTACCTACTGTTGCTCGGGTATAAAGTGTTCTTAACCCAGACCCCTCTCTTACCTGGCCCATGCCAGATCTCCATCAGACGCCAAGTCCCTCTACTACTGACCCAAGCCCCATGCAGTGTTACCAGCCTTTTTCTTCTGTTCTATGGTGCTGATTATCCTTCCTATCACATTGCATTGGCAGCTCTACTGTCTCCCCTGTGGTTCTGGGACCCAACTCTTCGAAACAGGAGTGAGTCCCATCCACGTCTCTTCCCAGTGGCTGGCACTGCACTGGGGTTGGGGTAAAGAGTTCGGTAGATGAAAGGGAAAAGGGGTGCAATGGTGCTGTGGAGGAGCACAACCAGGTCCATGGCGTGCGTCTGGGCACCAAGCCGGGCTCTAATGGACCTGCTAGACCGAGGCTCAGCTTTCTTGGAACATTTAGAGCCACCACAGAAGAAACTTGGTGAGAAACTGAGATGAATATCAGCCACGATGCTCTAACTTAGGGACAGTCAAGTTTATTTGTTGATGCTTTTATGAAATCAATTATCAACAATCTAGACCCTTAGAAAATTATTTTGTCTACCTTGCTATTCCTCTCGGATTCTGCTTTCCTGAACATGAACTCAACAGAATCGGCAATCAGTGCCTTACCCCCTGAGCCTTAGAGCAGATTATCCTAAAAAGCAGTAACTTTCAAATAATTGTAATATTTCACATACTTTACCCTAAAAAATGTCACTATAAAAAGGTCTTTGTGAAACACAAGAAAATTAAAATTAGCAGTTTATCCTAATATGTTTTCATAAACTTCCTGCTCATGTTTTCTCCCCCTACATACAGGATTTGGTTTTAAAGAGTTTTAAATAAGCCTTTTATAATGAGATAAGATTTTAAAAGACAGACAGAAAGGTGTCCAGGAAAGGGCCCTATCTCAGCTTTCATAGCTGTCTGCTATGTCTTTCTTGGGTCTAAGGACTTCCTGTGGAACCCTGCCTATAGGGTTGATTTTTGTTTTAGTTTTTTGTTGTTGTTGTTGTTGTTTTTTTCTGGAACCTCTTGGGGTTGCTTTTCTAATGCTAGCTTACTTCTTCCCTTCATTTTGTTTTTTGTTCTGTTTTGTTTTAGTTTGGTTGGTTCTGGGGATCGAACTCATGACCTTACACTTGCCACAAGTACAGCATGTGCCACTGAGCTAAATCCCCAGCTCTTCTTCCCTTCCTTTTATTTGGTTCTAGTATTCTTATAATTATGGACTCAAGTTGGTATGTGATTTGTAGTTGCTAAGTGTAGTTGCTAAAAAGTCCAGACTTTAAACCCTCTCTGAGTTCCCTGTGTGTGTGTAGCAGCTTCCTAAATATGAAGATATTTGGGCTAAATATTTAGTACAGCCAAGCTGTTGAGCACAAATAATTGTCCTTCTTTCCTGATCTGTTGATGATGTTCGGGGCAGCTGTGTGCCAGGAAGAAGGGTGCTCATTCCAGGCGCGAGCAGCAGATTCCTACGTGACTAGCAGGAATACCTAAGCTAGTCAATGACAGAAAGCAAAGCAGAGCTGCTCTCCTGGGCGGTTGCAGTTCTGGGGTAACGGGACAGAGCTGCCAACTGCAGATGGTTCTGAGCCTGGGATAGCAGGAAAAAGCTGCTGCCAGTGTAAATCTGACTCTGGGCAAGTGGGCAGGCTACACACACAGTGCGACCCCAGCATTAGGTGGGGTACGCAGAGCTTGACCCTGGTTGAGGCACACTGCTTATGCAAGTGGCCCTGGTTTGTTGGATGTCATGTATCTGGCATGACCCTGGGATGGGGCGGGCTGTACATGCAGTATAATCCCAGAATGAGATGGTGGTTCCTGCAGCCTGACCTTATGATCTAAAGAGTGTTCCATATTTTCTTGTATGTCTTTTCTTTCTCTCTTTCCTAAAGTACACAGGGGAGCTCTGAAAGGTGTGTCGTACATCTTTATCTGATAGCAGTCCACAAAAATTTTACCTCTAAGACAATCATATTTGTTAAAAACAAACACAAAAAGCAATAGCAGTTCTCTGGCTTTATATTTCAAAGTGCTCAATATCTAGATAAAGTTATGATGGTTAAACCTACTGCTCCCACTTCAATACTGCTATAACTGACCTCCTAGACGTTCAACAACTAAGGCTCGGAGATCAAAGCTTAAAAAAGATGAATAGACTCAGAGGATAGCCAAGAAAAGAGAACTTTTATTTAACCAGGACCCATGGCATGATGGGACCCCTCACAAAGATCCTGCAACTCTGATGAGTCATCCAGCCTCCCAGGCAGGTAGATTGTCCGACCCGGTGGACAAGAGTCAATCAGTGTAAATTGTGTGAAAAGAAAGGTCACTAGAAAGGGGTCTGTCCCCAAGCTTCCAAGGGAAACACAGGTCAAGCAAAGACTGTGACCCACCCTGGCAGAAGGCACTGCCAGAACAACAAGACTATGGAGGAACTAATCAGCTTCTCACATGGACACAAAAATAACCCCTGAGAAGTCTTAACTGATCTTCACTATACAGAGAGAAAAATTAATTTTAACTAACACAGGCCTCCCTTTAACCTGGTCCTAACCACCCGGCAAAGAAGTATAACCAAAATCTGATAGGTAGACAGACAGTAAAAGCTAGGCTTTTAATTGAGGGTCTCCAAATACTGCACCCTGCCCATGCTGACAGTCTTGGGCGGCTGCCATCATTTACAGCCAGAACTTTTGATTACTATTCTCACTAACTATTCAAAAATCTGTCTTTCTGCCTCTTTTATTCTATTCTACTTGATCCCTGACTAGGTAGGATCAATGCCCCTTCTCAGCCTAAAGCGGTTGCCAAAGTCAAAATAGCAGGCCTTTGCACTCCTTAACAATAAGAAATCAAAATAAATTAATTAAATGAAAAAGAATAAGGAATGAAAATTAGAGTAGGGCAGGGGAGGGGAGAGAAGATAGAAGAAAAAAATTAGGCAGAAAGGAGACAAGGGCAATCATAATTTCAAAAAGAAAACTACAGCTTCCGGACGCAAGCCTAGTTCTAATTTCCTTTTTTCTTTCTCTCTTCTCCCAGAGCAGAATAAAGCTGGCCAATTTCCTATCACCTGCAAACAGACCACCTTCCATCTAAAATTAAGATTTCCTCTGTAAATGGACCAGTATCTAGCCTTAGACATACAAAGGGAAGTTATCAATTCTCTCAAACAATGAACTAGGCAAAACTGAAACACGTGTTCACCCCTAGCTTCCCCACCAAACCAAGGCCACAGATTTCTACCCCCAAAGACACATAATGAGCTAAATGTGGTGGAACAGCCTGTAATTCCAACAGTCAGGAGGCTGAGGCAGGAGGATCACTGAAAGTTCAATGCCCACCAAACTACATAGTGACACTTGATCAAAAAACAAAAAACAAACCTCACACATAATAATTCAGAGTTCCAAGTTACAGTGCATTTCTCCGAGCACCCAAGTTCTAGTCTTCAGTATGTCCTAAAATATTTGCCTAATAAGCCCTCTCCATGCTTCTTACTGACATGGAAAAACTATTTTTTCACTATGGAATCCAGCAAACTTTCAAGCATTCTATCTTTAGAGTGGGTTAAGCTTTTCTTCTCAGCTCCAGAAACCCCTTGAAAGAGTGCTTCATACTTTTATATACTTCATTTTATACAGTATTGCTTTCTCTCCACTTATTATATGAACTTT